CTCTCTGTCTCTCATTCTCTCTCTCTCAAATAAATAAATAAAATCTTTAAAAAAAAATCTGAAATACATAGGCATAATGTGAACAATTTTCTTTAATTAACATACAATATATTATTTGTTTCAGGGGTACAGGTCTGTGAATCATCAGTCTTACACAATTCATAGCACTCACCATAGCACATACCCTTCCCAATATCCATCACCCAGCTACCGCATCCCTCCCATCCCGCTCCCCTCCAGCAACCCTCAGTTTGTTTCTTGAGATGAAGAGTCTCTTATGGTTTGTCTCCTTCTCTGGTTTCGTCTTGTTTCATTTTTCCCTCCCTTCCCCTATGATCCTCTGCCTTCTTTCTCAAATTCCATATATCCGTGAGATCATATGATACTTGTCTTTCTCTGATTGACTTATTTCGCTTAGCATAATACCCTCTAGTTCCATCCACGTCGTTGCAAATGGCAAGATTTCATTTTTTTGATGGCTGAGTAGTATTCCATTGTATATATAGACCACATCTTCTTTATCCAGTCATCTGTTGATGGACATCTAGGCTCTTTCCATAGTTTGGGTATTGTGGACATTGCTGCTATAAACATTGGGGTGCATGTGCCCCTTCGGATCACTACATTTGTATCTTTGGGGTAAATACCCCGTAGTGCAATTGCTGAGTCGTAGTGTAGCTCTATTTTCAACTTTTTGAGGAACCTCCATACTGTTTTCCAGAGTGGCTGCACCAGCTTGTATTCCCACCAACAGTGTAGGAGGGTTCCCCTTTTGTGGAGCTTATTTAAAAAAAAATTTTTTTTAATTACATTATATTTGTACACACAGTGTCCATAGCAGCATTATTCATAATAGCTAAAACATGAGAGCAACTCAAATGTCCGTCAACAGATAAATGAATAAACAAAATGTGGTGTATACATTAATGGACTGTTATTCAGCCCCTAAGCACATTCTGGCACCTCCTACAATATGGATGAATCTTGAGGACATTATGCTAAGTGGAATAAACCAGTCACCCAAAGAAAACTACTGTATAATTCCACTTACATGAGTCAAATTCATAGAGACAGAAAGTAGGATGGTGGGTGCTAGGGGCTGGGGGGAGATGGGGGTGGGGATGGTTGCACAAGAGTGAATGTACTTCATGCCACTGAACTATTTAAAAATGGTGAGGACAGTAAGTTTTATGTTATGTGTATTTTACCACAATGGGGGGGAAAGCTTTATGAAGTGCTTTGAAAATAAAGTCTAAAGGTCACTCTGAAATGCTGAAGAAATGGTGAACAATTAAACACCAGATAGAACAAAATAGGGCTAAGCAAAGAAAGAATCATCAATATAATTGGTCATTGGAAAACATTTCAAAATTTTGGAGAAGAATCGATCATTTGTGAAATGAGTTGACAGCGCATTTAGCTGCCGAAAATGCAGTGTCCCAAGTTGAGTATTCCCATCAGACTAGCATACCTCTCTTATTCCTTTAAAACAAAATTCTCAATTCTCTGGAAAATATTCATGATTCCTCTCCTGTCCAGTCTCCTGCCCTACCCCGCCACAATAAGTGTGACTTATGGCATGTTTCCACATAATACATCAGTGTCCCAAGAAATTTTCACATGTGAGTTAAAATGTAATTATAAGCACTTGGTTTTTTAAGAGGTGATTTTTATTAGGGCAGCAGATGTCTTTCCCATGAAACACCCAAGTACGATGATGTTCACTCTCATGACTACAGTCAGTATAATTGGGCTGGAGCTAGGGAGGATAGAACTAATAAGCTCTAATTTGGTAACGAATCTTCCACATTTTTTGGTAATATGTTTTCTGACCAGTGGTGTCACAGATGGTGAGAATGATGTGTCATAAGTCTGGAAATCAGCAGCCGCCATGTTAAGACATGATAAACAAACGATTGACTTTTTTCTACTGGTAGTTGGCAGCCAAAGGGATGACCTTTTAGGAGCAATTCCATGATACGTTTGTTCCGGGCTGGCCTCAGACCCACCAGTCTTTGAACCATTTTTTTTTTTTTTATGGTGGGATAGCACCATCAACTTGAGCTCCATGTAAATGCCCCAGAGCCATGGCTTCAGCTCATGCTGGCAGAGCTGTGTTCAGGGACCCTTATCCTAGGGCCATCTTGAAAAGGTGCCTATTTTTGAAGAGAGTCTTGGTACAAAGACTTCTTTCACATCCACGCATCAGACAGGCGCCTGGGCGGCTCAGTTGGTTAAGTGATTGCCTTTGGCTCAGGTCATGATCCAGGAGTCCTGGGATCGAGTCTCGCATCGGGCTCCCTGCTCAGTGGGGAGTCTGCTTCTCTCTCCCGCTCCCCCCTCTTGTGCTCTCTCTCTCTCTCTCAAATAAATAAATAAAATCTTTAAAAAAAAATCCACGCATTAGAAAAATAAGCATCTTGTAGATGATGCTTTCACCTTTGATTAGAAAAGCTCTTGGTTACATGTAGTATTTGCAAGTTGTGAACTATAGTTCTAGGGTGGGACCTGATTGATTGACTACCTCTGTTGTCTCATTAAATGAAAGCCTCTTGACTTTTCCCCCATCTGCAAACCAGGTAAAGGACCACCACCCGAAGGAGTTAAAGACTTGGTATGCAAAGAAGGTGATGGGAAAAACCAAACCAACCAAAAACGTTTACTTTTAAATAGGCATTGTGTAAAATTATCTGAAAGAAACTCACAACTTTATTGTTTACTTACTGTAAGTTAATAACTGAAACCCATGTGATAGGTAAATGAGAATATTCACATTGTAACTATTGGACTAGGTTTGGCTGCAGAGAGAAATCCTAATATAACAGTGACATAAACACAAAGAGTATATTCCGTCATTAAACTTAGCTGGGCATATTGATGCCCTGTAAGATATGAATTTTACTACTAAAGATAAAGCAAGGAATTGGTATCACAAGACAAATCACAGTCTGGGCCCCATCTTCCAGAACTAGAGTATATTGCTCTCAAAATACAATTCTTCAAAATAAACCTTATCACAGTGGATGAGTTTTCTATGGTCTTGATATTGGACCAAGAATCAACAGCCTTGGTTTCTTTTGTTACCCAAACCTCTGAGACTTTTTGACCATTTCTGTGGGTCAATTTCCCTGACTCTGCTCTCTAAAGTAGATGAGAAAAAAGTAAGGTTCACCAAAGTACTATGGATGCATAGGTATGAAGAAGCACTCGTAAGTTCAGTAATAATAGTTTTGAAGACAGGATCGTGTCAGAGCTTGCTTAAAAATCCTCTGATCCAATTTATTTAAGAAATTATATTCTTTGCTTGTGTCTTGCTACCTTCCACTTAGGGTAAATTCATCTTTTGCCATTTGTTAAATTATAGTTATTATATCCTAATAATTCTGTATCATTATATCTCTTTCTTTACAGAGAAAGTAGGTGAAGACACAGAGACAACAGTTGAGAAAGGTAGGCGAGATTTTGTTATCAAGTATTTTTATGGGAGTTTTTAAAAAAAAGTTTCTTTGAAGCTTATCTTGTGATGAATTACATTCTTTCCTGGATTGTAGTCAACAAGAGCGAAATACAGAACCCTCTGAGAAGAGGTTTCAAACCTCTTTTAAGAGAAAAAAGGAAATTGCCTGTACTTGAAAATACGCAAACCACAAATGAGTCTAGTCACTTAATGACAGCCATGGAGAATGGTGTCGTATCATAATTTATTGTTATGAAGGATGAAAGTAGGGGCTCATTTAATCCAGCACACAGACGTTACCTAATAATTAACAGTGAAGCCACCCAATATGAATGGTATGCTTGATAGATCCTGAGACCCAGGAATCTTTCCATTCATATGAGGAGATGAGAGTAGCCCAAAGTTTCATCTCTTTTAGGTCAACTCCCACTGAATAAGCAGAAGCAAATTAGAACATGATTTGCTATCTTCAGTGGGGCAGTGGTATTGTTTATAAATGACACATTTTATCACAGGGATATCATTTATCTGGGGCTCATGCTTTTTTTTTTCCCCATCCTCATTCAGATGGCCTGGCAACAGTGACCCTGGTTGGAATTATAGTTGGAGTCTTACTAGCCATTGGATTCATTGGTGGGATCATCATTGTGGTTGCTCGAAAAATGTCAGGAAGGTACTCGTAAGTAAATAACTTACACCCATGTGGTAGGTAAATGAGAGCAGTCATATCTAGAACTCCAACCTTTGAGCTAATTGAAACCTCTAAATAAAGATCATGTTCAGGGATGTCTGGCTGCCTCAGTGGGAGGAGCATGCAACTCTTGATCTCAGGGTCGTGAGTTTGAGCCCCACGTTGGGTGTAGAGTTTACTTTTTAAAAAAGTCATTTTCAGAAGCCCCTTACATCTGTGAGGACTACATCTGAAGTATACCCAGAAGAACAGGTATCTACTTGGCCCTTCTAAGTCTCCAAAAAAGAGAGTTAGAGCCAGAGATGGCTTTTGAGTTGACTCAAAAGTTGAGATCTAATCAAATTTGGCCTCTTGTCCTAATTTTTCAACTAACTGAACTTGAAAGAAAACCCAAACCAAGTTTCAACTTGTTACCTAATTGCCTTGCTCCCAATCATCAGAGGGAGGGAGGGGGCCTTCAGGAGAGCATCCATTGCAGAGCCTGGGCACAATTCTGATGAGAATTCTTCTGGTGGTGGGGTCCCCTCCCTCTACTCCTGCCCTGCACGTACCCACACGCATGGTAGTGAACTCCTAGTAGTGATTATTGATGAAGGGAAGGAGTTCTTTCTCTTTATGAAAATTCCTTAAGAATTCAGAAGATCCAAACTCATAACCAGAGGAAGACTTTTTCTTATTTCTGTTGGGGAGATGATATATAATGGGGGGCAGGGGGTGGCAGAGAGGACAAGTGCTATATAACTGGGGGCTAAGGGACACAGCTCACAATACAGTCGCAGATTTATGTGCTTGGAAAAGCCTGGGAACCTGCCCCTGGCTGTGTGAGGGCCAGGCATGCAGGAGGAGTGAGCGGGGAGAGGAGAAGAGCTCCAGGTTCCAGAACTACCAGATTTATACGAAAGGACAATAGGACCATGACTCACAGGATTACTATTTACAGTGCCAGTAAGAGAAGTGACAGTTACCTTTTTCTTTGTTTTCACAGGCCCTAAAGAGCTGAAGAACTGTGCCCTTCTACCAACACTTTTTTAAAAGAGAGTTTCCGACTTCCCCATCCCTGAGCACGTGGGAGAAGATGACCCATGGAAATCGCTTGGCAATCCCACTCCAAATCCATGGTGATCCCTCCGCTTGCCAAAAGTAACCCAGGGAAAGACAATTCACGAGACTCGCTCCTCTAGGCATTTTGTCTTTTGAAAATATTTTTAAATATACATTTTGTAAAAGATGATTTAAAAGACAAAATGCATAGAAAATGGAGCAAAGCGATGTAAACTGATTTGTAACTAAGACAATATAATTTAATCGATGCTGGAAATTATAATCCTGTCTCTGTTCTGACCATTCGCTGTTATTGTTAAAATGCAATCAAGTCTGGAAATATTATATCAATGGAGTCCCTGAGTTTAGTACCATGTTCGTGAGTGGCATACGCATTGTGCAGTCTCCGCTCTGTTGAAATGTACATATTCCAATCCAGTCTGGTCTGTTGTGAAAGCCTAATTTCATGTCAATAATCAAGTAGAAAATCTAAACTTGTATAATATGTAATGAGCAACTGCCTTTCACTGGCCCAGATAAATCATTTCAAAGGCCCCCATGTTAGAGTACAAACAGGAAGTCTATGGTTTGGAGAAGGGATTTTGTTTCTCACAATAAGGTCATCGGGCAGGCTCTAGGCTGGCTTCTTGCCTTCTCCAGCGATGACTTGGTGACTTACAGATTTGCTCCCACCTGCTGCCTCCTCTTCCCTCAGATGATGAGCCAGAGCTCCTGGAGCAGCCTTTTCTCTTCCCAGGACCTAAGCCCTTCAGATTGGCTGTTTTGTTCTGGAATATGGAAGTCTTAGCCCTGGATGCCAGGGAGACTGCTGGATGCCCAAGGGTGCCTGAGGCTCAGATGTTCCAGAAACCAAGAACTATGGTATTCCCCAAACAGAAGGAAACCCTGTGTGTCCCTCTGGCCTGATTACTTTCTGCCTTAGAGGAAACATCCGGGACACAAAAATAATCCTGTAAGATAGTAACTTTAAGAAAGCAGGTGGAATTTAAAGACTGGACGTAAAAAATCAAAGAAATTCTCAGTCTCCGTGACACATCCCACACACTTCCATGGGGTCATCATTGAAAAGATCATCAGAGTAAAGGACCCCACGCTACCATATGGGGCGGGCTCCATCCAGCTCAGCATTTTCTGTAGTTCAGCTGCCTTCTTTTTCCCAAACACAAAGTTTTCATACTGAGCAGGTGCTCTGTCACGATTGTGGTTGTGCAGGTCTGATATCCTCTCAACTCGTACGAAAAAGTAAACTATCCTTTGGAAAAGCACCGCCCATTCCTCTCTTTCTTGCAGTAACACGGGGATGTTATGTTAAACAGCGTGCCCTTCTGTTACCCAAGTCTGGCTGGTCCACCAACCCGGGGTCTGTATTTGAACATCCGCTGATTGAGAGCAGGGGCTTTAGAAGGGCTTTGTGTGCTTACGTATCCTTCTGTTTCATCGCTCAGATTCCTGAACGGGAGTTTGGGACAAAGTCTGTTTTGTCTTGCGTGTCCTTTCTTTTTTTTCTCTCACTGTGAACAATAACTTTCTGCCCCAAGTCATACACTGGACCCGCCACCTGCTGGGACAGGACTGTGGGTTTCTTGGTCACATCTGTGTTGGTGCTCAATGCAGTGTAGATGTGTTTTAAAATAAAAAACAGATGATTGCGTATAACAATGAGTCAGACCTTTGATTGGAAAGATCCCGTCTGGGTCACACTTTAGAACAGCTTCAGATAAGATTATCAGTTATGGAAACATCTGCCTCTAAACTTGATCGGAAGCGAATTATAGGTGGTTACAGGAAATACATCCACTGGAAAGAAATACAACTATGCCTTTCACGTAGGGCTCTGCCAAAGTGGAGAGGTGAAGGTCAAGCTGAGGAATGGGATGAGACAGGTGGCACCTTGGGACTTCTTTTGCCCTCTGGTCACAAAGGGTTAACAAGGTTTTGCCTGGCTCCTGATTGCCCTGCACTGGACAGGAGCCGGGTCCGGGAGCCGTTACACCTGCTCCTGCCAGTCTTGGGCAGCCTGTCCCTCCAGAATTCCTGCTCCTGGGACATCTCACTGCTCCATGGCCCTTGGCTGCAAGCACTCTGCCTGGTCTAACAGAAAACTAGCCGTGTCCACCTAGCCCCAGAGACAGAGAAAGAGAACAGGGCTCTCAGCTAGGTCAAGTGCGCAGTCACAGTCCCTTACCCGCTCATGGAGCTGCCGGGGCTGCTGAAAGTTCAAGGGAACTTTCTCCCATCAGAGGCTCCCGGGAGCAGGCATGCTTAAGGTAACCGTGCCAGATGAAAGCCTCGTTTTACCCCCTGCCCCGCCCCCTTCTTTGTTTCAACCCGGGAGAGCCAGTTGAAAACCCAGGACTTAGTTCTGCCCTCATGTGGCACCTCAATGACCCGGGAAAGTACAAGAAGCTGAATTCCTTGCTGAGTCTATCTGCTTTTTCATTCCTATTTACTTAGTATTCAGGGCATGGGACTGCTTGGGACAAATGCTTCTATGGGGAAAATTGTGTATTTGGAACTTAAACCTTTTTTTTTTTTTTTTACTAACTAAAAGTCCAGTGAAAGTGGGGGAAGCAGTTCCCCAAAACGCGGCTGCGTTGGGCACCTACTTGGAACACACAGTTGTCCACTTGTATGTCAGAGGACTTGCCTTCCCTGAGAGCCGGCACTTCTCTGTCCTCTTCCTGAAGCTTGACATCGGGTTAGAATGTGTCGTAGATCCTGGATTCTTAAATTCAATAAATGTAAATGATGTGGACACAGTTAATAGGCAACGATGCAGAATAAATTTGAAATCTCGGAGTTGGGGGCACCTGGGTGGCGCAGTCGGTTAAGTGACTGACTCTTGATTTTGGCTCAGATCATGACCTTGGGGTCCTGGGATCAAGCCCCACATTGGGCTCCACACTCAGCACGGGGTCTGCTGGAGATTCTCTCTCCCTCTACTCTGCCCCTCCCGCTCATGCTCGCACTCGCTCTCTCTCTAAAATAAATAAAGTCTTTTTAAAAAAATAAAAAATGAAATTAAATCTCGGAGTTGAAGCATGAACCCACTGCTTTGAAGAACATGGGATTTTTTTGGCTGGTGGGCCAGCCTGGATTCCCCCCAAATTATTCCTCATCATTTCCGCTCTCTCGGGGGGTCATCTTACCAGACACTGATGCGAAGCACCATGTGTTCTACCTCGGCACCCAAGGGCTCCTGGCCATGATCCGACAACGTACAGGCCATCCCGGACACGATTCTGAGACCTTGTTTCTCCCAGCTGTTTCTTTCCTGTTCCTGCAAATCTTTCAGAAGAAAAGTCACATGCCAGCCCAGGCGGTTGTTTCTGAAGTGACAGCTACCCCCCCAACCAGAGGCTACTGAAGACATCTGCAATATGTGTTTGAACAAATAAAACCACGTGTGACTTTAAGAGTGGTAGGAATTTTCTGGCTAAAGTGACTGGATGAACCCTCCTTTTGCTCCCCCCACACCCACGCTGTAGATGTGTCTGGGGCTGTGGATGGCACAGGGCCAGTTGGAAAGGGAATGTATGGTGTCTACAAGGTCTTCCAGGCTGCTGGAGAGAAAGAGATTCTCTTGTAGGAGGAGAATAATCTGTTCATTCATTCATTCATTCGTTCAACAGACATTTGTTCTCAGACCCTGTTCTAGGTGCTGGGAACACAATGAATGGAACTGACCAAAGTTCCTGCCCACGTGGAGCTTATAGCCTAGTGTGGGAGACAGGCTATACCCCAAATTAGTAAGTCCCAGAGTATGGGGAAACTTCACGGGTGGTAGGGGCATCGGAGAGACACAGGGGAAGGGAGTGAAAGTGGAGGAGTGGAGCATGGAACTGAGGGTGGGGAAGGCATCACCAAGGTTTGGGGAATGCAGGGAAGCTCAGGAGGCTGGAACAGAATGGACCCGGCGGAGAATGGAAGGTGACAAAGCCAGAGGGGGTGAGGGTGCTCGCAAATATGGAGGCTTTGGAAGGCTTTGAGGTGTGTCCTTTCAGATAAACATCTGAAATATTAAAAAAAAAAATCACTCTCGGGGCTCCTGGGTGGCGCCGCCGGTTAAGCTCAAGACTCTTGGTTTTGGTTCAGGTCGTGCTCTCAGGGTCCTGGGATAAAGCCCTTCGTCCGGCTCTATGCTCAGTGTGGAGTCTGCTTGAGATTCTCTCTCTCCCTCTCCCTCTGCCCCTCCTCCCTGCTCGTGCTCTCTCTCTCTCTCAAATAAATAAATAAAATTTTAAAAAAACAGTAAGAAATAAACATCACTCTCACTTCTGGTTGGGAACTGGCCAAGTAAAAAGCCAATGTGATGGGGCGCCTGGTTGGTTCAGTTGGTGGAAGGTATAACTCTTGATCTCAGGGTTGTGGACTCAAGCCCCACCTTGGGTGTGGAGATTACTTAAAAATAAAATCTTTTTTTTTTTTTAAAGCCAGTGTGATAATCCAATCTCAGGATGCTGGTGGCTCAGACCAGATGGCTATGGTGGAAGCGGCATGAGGTCGTCCAGTTCTGGTTGTAATTTGCATAAAGTCAACAGAATTATCTGATGTGTTGGACATGGGATATTAAAAAAGCAGAGAAGTCAAAATGACTCTAAGGACTTTGCCCTGAGCAACTGGAAAGTGGAGTTGCCATCGAGTCACCGGGGAAGGCTGTGGGTATTGTAGGTTTGAAAGGAAAGAACTGGACTTCTGTACCGAACATCTAGAATTTCCCCCCGTAGTTCCTACTCATCACTGGCCAACACCACCTTGCTTCCTGGCCTCTGCTGATATATAACTTCCACAAAATCCCAACTTGAATCACATATGGGCCAGTGTTGTCCCCTAGACACGTCCACCCTGCCGAAGCAGCCTCTCTCAACTTGTGTTTCTGCCACCATTGGACTCTGCATTTCCAAGACCTCACTGCCCATTCCCTCTCGGCAGGGGTTGGTTCTGGAGGGAGGACCATGGGAAAACTGCCTCTAAGCCTTGCTATTTTTTTTACATGAACAACTAAAACCCATAGAAAAGAATACCTACCTCATAGAGTTGTTGTCGGCCTTAAAATAATGAATGTTTACTGCCTGTTCGAAAATACAGTAACTGCTCAGTCATTAGTAGCAATTATTACAACAACCCCTTCTTGCTCCAGTTATTATAGCCTCATTTACTCTCACTACCTCCCTGTGAAGTAGGCAAGAGAGATTACCCCCATTTTACAGATGAAGATATTGAGGTTCAAACAGGTGCCTAAAATTATAGAGTTACGATGTGCCTGAAGCATAATCAGGGTGCAGGTATCTTGATTCATTCTCTGGACCTTCTTTTTTGGGTCCACATGTCTTTTATCTTTCTTTCTTTCTTTCTTTCTTTTTTAAAGTAATCTCTGCACCCAACTTGGGGCTCGAACTCACCACTCTGAGATCAAGAGTCACTCACTCCACCAACGAGTCAGCCAGGAGCCCCCCACATAGCATCTTTCAAAATCAATTGTTTCCCTATCAGCTCAACGGTAGTGCATTTTGAAGACACAGTTTCCTCAGCCAGTGGAAAATAGGGAACCCATTTTTTTTTTTTAAAGATTTTATTTATTTATTTGAGACAGAGAGAATGAGATACAGAGAGCATGAGAGGGAGGAGGGTCAGAGGGAGAAGCAGACTCCCTGCCTAGCAGGGAGCCCGATGCGGGAC